ACATGCCCAACGGAGCTTCTTCCATCAACCCCGGCGCCGCGCCGCTCCTTCCCAACCAGGGTCGCGTTCTCCAGACTGGCCCAATCCGTGTCCTGTGCATAGCTGACGTCCGAGGTTCGTTGTCATCCCACCAAACGGTGCTGAGCCGCCCCCTGTGGAGCTTCAATCTGACCTACTCTTCACAGGCAACCTCCGATCTCTGAACGACCTGGCGCAACAAGCACGAGCCGACCACATCATCCACACTGGCGACTTTGGCTTCTACGACGACACCTCCCTGGAGCGAATCGCTGAAAAGTAAGGACCCCTCCGCGAATCCACACCCGACCGCTGTCATTCTGACATTGGTACCAAGGACCCTTAAACATGTTGCTCAGTACTCGCCTTTGATCCACGAGGATATCAAGAAGCAGATTCAACAGGGCGGTCCCGGTCCAGTCAAGAGCCGATTCGCGCCTCACGAGCTCCCCCTCTCCCAGCTGTCTCAGCTCCTGAGCGGCGAGGTTAAGCTCGATGTTCCCGTATACACCGTATGGGGTGCTTGCGAAGATGTGCGCGTTCTCGAGAAGTTCCGGTCCGGCGAGTACAAGGTTCACAACCTGCACATCATCGATGAGGCCCGATCGATGCTCCTGGAAATTGGCGGAGTGAAGCTCCGTTTGTTGGGTCTTGGCGGTGCTGTCGTCATGCACAAGCTCTTCGACAATGGTGAAGGTAGGACCACCATTGCCGGAGGCCAGGGCACCATGTGGACCACTCTCCTGCAGATGGGTGAGCTCGTCGACACTGCCCACCGTGTCTACGACCCCACCGAGACCCGCGTCTTCGTCACCCACGCCTCTCCTGCCCGTGAGGGTATCCTGAACCAGCTCTCCGTCACCCTCAAGGCCGACTTCTCCATCTCCGCCGGTCTTCACTTCCGCTATGGCAGCTCCTACAACGAGTTCAGTGTCAACCCTACCCTCGACCACTACCGCGGCAAGCTTGCCGCCTCCAAGGCCTCCTTCAACGACGTCTGGGAGACTGTCAAGGGTGAGGTCGAGCCCGCCATCTCCCAGAACGAGGCGCAGCAGAATCTGCTCAAGAACGCCCTCCAGATTGTCGAGAAGATGCCTACCACGGCCGCTGGTGGGAACCCCTTCGGCGGACCCGTCGCTGGCCAGGCTCAGCTTGGTCAGGTCGACGAGAGCGCCTTCAAGAACATGTGGAACTTTAACCTCGCAGATGCCGCCTTCGGCTACCTGGTTCTTGAGATTCAAGACGGCCGTATCGGAACCGAGATGCGTGCGCAGGGCTTCAACTTCTCACATAGGGGTGCTAAGACGGCGGCGCCTGTCCCGGCTTCGGCTCCAGCTGGAGCTCCCGGAAACCTTCCCGCTCCCGCCCCGCCCTCGACCCAAAGCACAGCTCCTCCTCCTACCAGCAGACAACCCTCATCCCAAGCGCCTCCCAAGCCTGCTGTCGCCACACCTCTTCCCCCTGCTAAGCCTGCTACCCCTCAACCTGCGACCGCTGCTGCACCGCCCGCAGTGCCCCCCAAGGATGAGCGTCCCGCGCCTGCGGCTGCCAACGGATCAGCCCACGGCCCTGACCCCGTCTCTTCGCCTGCTCCCAAGACTCCCGCTCAAGATATCATCGGACTGTTCATTATGAATGTCAGCTCCGAAGAGCAGACGCGCGATCTCTTCGATGGTGAACACAAGGCGAAGATTCTCAAGATTGAGAAGTGGGGTAACTCGAACAAGGTGGTTCAGTTCAAGACTGTCGAAGACCGTGACGCCGCCCTCGCCAGCCTGCCCGAGGACCTCAAGACCCGCGCCCAGGAAGACCGCTCTCGTCCCCTTGTCAAGGTGTTCCAGCACCGCGAGACCAAGTTCCAGCCCCGTGGCGGTGCCGGCAACTGGGGAAGCAGCAGAGGCGGCAGCAACTCTGCCAACACTGGCAGTGGCTACCGTAGTGCCGGTGGAGCCAGTGACTCTGAGAGCAACCGCCGTGGCCGTGGAGGTGGTCGAGGCGGCCGTGGAGGCGATCGGGGACGTGGCGGCCGTGGTCGAGGTGGACTCAAGGGTGATGGTGGAGCTTCACCTGCCCCCGGCCCCGCCACACCGGCGGAGTAGGACTCTTCTCTCAGAGTCATTGATAAGGGTGCTGCGGAGGGCGGCACTTGCTCCTCGGAATCGGGGAAGCGCCGCCGTCTGTCCAAGGCTAATGACGTCCTTGCAGCCTTAATGGTCAAGTTTGGCCCCTCGAAGACAGGGGAATGAAGGACACGATTATTCTTTTTCGGTCATGAAGGGAGAAAGGGGGGGCAAAGAAAATAAGTGCTACCAATTCTTGTACGCGTACCTTAATGAGATGAATAGGTGGGGAAGGTCTCTCGGTTTGGGATGTTGGTCCTCGGCTCAGCTTCCCATTTTCCATGTTAGGAGTTCTTCGTCGATGAGAAATAAAAGGCTTTGCGGCTTCGGTGGAGTTGAGAGAAAAGCCAGATTTAGTATTTACCCCTGTCGTCCGTTTTCATGATGATGATGGTGAGGTAGACTTTGGCCTGGTGGGCTCAAGATAGAGGCAATTCATGCTGTCTAATGTACTCGGGTCCTTTACGTGCCGTGACTGATGTCCCTGTTGCTGACTTGTGATGCTATACAGGCAGTTTGTGAAATCTGCAGGCCATCACTGGTCACCGAATAGGTCAAAGGTATTGTTGTACAAGGCCAGCGGCCATCTCATTTACATTCGTCTTGTGTAGGGAGTCTATCTGATAGCCGCAACGTCTAAGCGACATCGTTTCTTTCTTTTTTTATTAGTACAGATTCATCATTGTACACGTCTGCCACCCCGATTTCAGACCACGTTCTTTTCTCCATCCTCACGTCATCACCGTGCCTCCCGCTTACGCCTTGATGGGCTTCATGCCCTTGTGGATGGCCGCGACGCCACCGGTGAGGTTCTCGTAGCCGTCTCCGGCGACGACGAAGCCGGCGTCCTTGATCATGTCGCGGAACTCTGTCTGGCTGGGGAAGCGCTCGATGCTCTCGACGAGGTACTGGTAGCTGTCCCTGTCGCCGGCGACGAGGTGGCCGATGAGGGGGATGGCGCTGAAGGACCAGCGCTTGTAGACGGCGTTGAAAAGGGGGTAGTCGTCGGCCTTGCTGAATTCGAGGCAGGCGAAGACGCCGCCGGGCTTGAGGACGCGGTGGGCCTCGCGCAGGGCGGCGGGGATGTCTGTGAAGTTGCGGATGCCGAAGGCGACGGTGTAGAGGTCGACGGAGTTGTCGGGGACGGCGCCGTCGGGGAGCTTCTCGGCGTTGGCCTCGAGCCAGGAGAGGGCGGCCTGCTGGGAGGCCGGGAGGGACTTGGAGCGGTCGCGGCCGACGGCGAGCATGGAGGGGTTGATGTCGGAGATTGTGACGCGGACGTCGGGGTTGCGGTTGATGTTGTGCGCCGTGTGGAGCATGCGGAAGGCGATGTCGCCGGTGCCGCCTGCGATGTCGAGGATGTGTTGCGGGGTCGGGGGGTTGGTTGCTGAGAAGCCCGGCTGGAGGGAGTTGACGAAGTGGTCCCTTTGGGGAGATGTGTGTTAGTCGCGGGAAAGGAAGAGGGAGGGGGAAGAGACGTACTTCCATACTCTATGCCAGCCAAAGGACATGAGGTCGTTCATGCGATCGTAGGAGTCGGCGACGCTGTGGAAGACGCCGGCGACGCGGTCGGCCTTTTCGGACTCGGGGACGGTCTCGAAACCAAAGTGTGTCGTCTTGTTCGTGCCATTGGCGGAGGAGTCGGTGTTGATGGATCGGGAGGCGTATGCGAAGGGTCGGGAGAGCGATTGGGGGGAGGAGAACTGGTTGGAGAGTGAGCGCACGCTCAATGGCGTGCAGAGGGCTCGTCTGGTCGCCATCGTGACTGAATGGCTGTGGTCGTGAGGGAGCGCTGGTGGTCCTGGGTAGCCGGGAAGTCAGTCGATCGAGAGCTCTCTCGATAGAAATTTTGGTGGAGCATTCGCAGTGGCTGGTGCGACGCTAGAATGGTGTTTCCTGGTCCCAGGACAGGGGGTCAAGCCACATCTCCTGGGGTATGGGACGATCACCTCGATGCTTCATGTGATCTTCGCCAAAACAAAACGGACTCACCTTAGACAGTGGCAGTCGCGGTGACCGTGGTATTCTCTTCGTTTTCAGTGCCCTCGCGCTCCTTGTTGTGGGCTCGATGCTGGGCGAGCAACTTGGCGAATGTGTGGACTTGGTGACGGGCGTAGTAGGCGATGACACAGAGGAGCAGCGTGATGAAAATAACCAGAATGGCAATTCTTCCCGCCGCGCTTACCATTTTTATGTGTTCCGACGGAGATATTGGGTATTGATGTGGTGTTTAGCTGTAAACGGTGCTTGGCTGTGTGAGGTTGACGATGAGCTCAAGTTTGGTAGACGAGGTGGGATGAGTGCAGTTGCTAGGTACGCGGGGTTGTGTTGGTCGCGCGTTGCACCGAAGGTTCTGATGTTTTTGTTCTCTCATTTTTGGAAGTGAATAACTTCCGAATACATCCTGTGTATTCGTCCTTGAGTTCTACCTGTACATAGCGGTCGTCGAGATGCCTCGCTGCTCTCACTTACACCCCGCTGTCAATCCGCACATTTACTGATAACGGCAAGTGGGGTCTTCGATAAAGAGCTTCGTTGCAGGGGCCAATGCCTCTCGCCGCTCTAGGCATCGAAACCTCGAAATGTAGGCTGGTCTTCTCGAAAACGAAAGACAACTTCTGCGTCTATTTCGAAGCATTCCACTAGAATTAAGGAGATGTCTTGAGACTACTCTCAGCAAACAACAAGTTTGGAAGCTTTCATTTGCTTCGTAGACGATTGTCGCAACTGACACAGCGGCAATAAAGCAGCGACGACACTCATTTAGCCCCTGTAACTCTCTGCACTGTCCATTTAACCTCTTCTCGGCGTTGGTGGGCCACATCTTCACTGGTCACATCTACTGGATGCCTTCGACGTCAGATGGATCCGGACTGGGATGCACAATTCCCGCCCACTGTCTCTAAAGCCTGCAGCAGATGCCACGCGCGAAAAGTGAAGGTTTGAGAACCCCCGGACGAGTGGCCTGAGAACCAAGCGATTGACCACTACAAGTGTGACCTGAGAGTTCCCCAATGCTCGGCCTGCGAGAAACACAACGAGCAGTGCAACATCACGGAGCGCGTTACGTATTCCTACGCTGCTGTGAAGAGCCTGCAAGATAAGATCAGTGATTTGCAGGCTACAATCAATAGCCTCACTCAAGACTCGGAAACCCACCCTGCCGACGCCCCGGATGTCAGTCGCTTTGGCGATGTACGCAAAGAGGCAGAAGAGATTGGCGTCTTGGCCATTGGAAGACCAAATAGCTACACAGACAGGATATACAGTGAGTAGCCTCCAAGCCTCATGGTCCTTCGTATTGACACATATACGCAGTGGGCAGTGCAACGGGTTCAACATTTGCCCGCATATTCTTCAAGCAGATCAACCTCGCACCACCCACGCCGAATGCTCAGCTCTCATCCGCACCTCTAGACCAGGACTTGTTCAGAAACAACGCCGCTCTTCCGCCTCAGCCGATTGCGCGGTTTCTCTTTGCTGCGTACATCCGTCGAGTTCACCTCTGGTGGCCATTCATCTCGCTTCCCTTTCTGAGAAGCACCATCGGCCACTTATACGAGGACCCAGCAAGATGCAGTCTCTACCAAAAGTTCCTGGTCCTCATGGTTCTTGCCCTGGCATCTGCACACTCGGCTGGTAGCCCAGAATACCGCCGCATGCTGGACGTCAACAGCCCCGCTGACTATTTCCAAACCGGTCTGCGCTTCTTTCTCAACTTCCACGATCATTCGCGCGATCTCCAAGGCCTACATTCGATACTTCTGCTGAGTCTGTGGATGATGGACTCGAATGTGAGAAGTCACGGAGATGACCTCTGGCATCTCAGTCGCTATGCAATGTCTGTTGCCATTGAGATGGGTCTTCATCGCCGGTCATCGTCTGCGGGCAGCTTCAGTGCCGAAGACACGGAAATCCGTAACCGTACATGGTGGTGCATATACAGCCTGGAGAGGCAAGTCGCGGTCATCACCGGTCGAGTCTTGTCAGTTCGCGAACACGCAATCGACGCGCCGAAACCGATGCTTAGCAGCTTGGATAATCTTTCGAGCTCAGAAGCACAAGCGGCACCCGTTGTTCACCGACTCAACGTGCAACTCTTCAACCATCTAGTTCGACTACGCCGAATTGGCGGCCGTGTGCTGGAGTCAGTCTATATCGCCAGAGGACCCGATGGCCGGGCGTCAAAGACCACGTTTCAACAAATCTGTGATGAAATCGAAAAAGTCCAACAAGAACTACAAAGCTGGAAGCGAGATATTGAAGGTCTGGATATCAAGGGCACGCGGGAATACTCGGAGATGAAGGTCGAGTATGGCCTTCTCCTCTTGCTCATGTACCGGCCATCCCCCACCTTCATGATTCCATCACGGGAGATGGTCGAAATCTGCTCTCGAGCTATATCTGGGACCGTACGCCAATGGTTGAAGCTAGAAACCCAGCATGGCATAGGTGCCATATGCCGCTGTTTCCGTCATGTGCATGGAGTTCTGATGGTAGGACTAGCTGGGCTTTATTGTGATTGGTAAGTCTCCCAAATGTCACCGTTGTTGTTCCATCGTTGTTGACGATCTCTTCAGGCACACCAAGACTATGGCTCGAGATGCCGATACACACGTACTCCACGCCCATGGAAACGACGTAGCTGCATGCATCGATCTTGTTGAACGCGGCATTTCTTGGATGAAAGAGGACTGTATCCTCAAGTACCGCGATCTTCTACAGGCCGCGAGACTCAAGGTATACGGGCCCTTGGCCTGGGAACCGACGAGCCCTCAAACACGTTCTACGGACTTGAGACCACCGGCTGGTACTGCTGACACCCTCGGCATATTCGAACCAGACATGCAATCCCAGCTCTTTTTCCAAGGGGAGGGATTGGAAACCTATGTCAACCAGGTCACGGGGTATTTCGACAGCAGCCAGGTCAACTTGGATGAGGGCCTGACGGCGTGGTATGGTTCGTTCCTGGACGAATTGCAGCCAACCCAACCTGCCCAGCAGGAATGAACAAGTGGAATTGCATCAGCGGCCCAAATGACTATCGGGTAATAGATGAAATGATGGTTCATAAGATCCACCGGTCTTATCGGGTTTATTGAGGGCGACTTCCCCCAGAGTCAGGAGTCACGGTGGAGGCCGAGCAGAGCGGGGCCAAACTCGGACAACTCCAGGAACTTTCTCGGTGTCGACCGAGCCTTTGTCGCCATTATTAGCAGCTTTGAACTTGCGAATCCGGGCAACCTCTGAAGATAAATGTAAACCAAGTCTTGTTATCAGCTGCGAATCTCTCTAACTCAACTCGGACCTAGACGCCAAGACAGGTTTCACAGAGCTTATCGAACCATTTTGGCAGTCACCCCGGACCAACGGAGACACCATGTCTCAGTCTGAATCGAAGAGCCAAGCGGCCAATAGCCACACCTCTGTTCTCAACCCCAAGAATGCAACCATTCTGGTAAGATATTCTCGTTGGTATCAAACTTCATCGGTGCTAATGCTGTACAGGTCGGTATTCGCGATGGCGTTACCAATGACTTCCGCCTAGTTCCAAGAGACCAGGCGGTGGTATCAGTCTTTGACTCCAACTTTCTAATTGGAGATGGCATTTGGGTACTTGATCCTGAACTCTTCACAACATATCCAAACTGACTTTCCAAACTCAGGAAGGAATCCGCGCAGTCAGGGGTCGAATTCAATTCGCCAAGGAACACATCAACCGCCTTTTTCAATCCGCAAAAGCCATGTACATGGATTTGGGCCTGACAAAGGCCGACCTCCTATCTCTGCTGCACCGAACCCTCGACGCAAACGACATGGGCGACGAGCCTCACGTCCACATTCGCCTCGTCGTCAGCCGCGGCCTCAAGTCCACTCCTTACCAGAACCCGCACGTCAACATCGGCCTGCCGCTCATCGTCATCATCCCCGAGATCAAGGCCGTCGACCCCGCGGCGAAGGAGCGTGGTCTGCGCCTCGGCACGACCTGGGTGCGCCGCGGCCCGCCCGACGTCAAGGACGAGCAGTGGAACCACATCTCCAAAGCCACGGACGTCCAGGCCTGTGTCAGTGCCAACGTGATGGGCGTCGACGAGGCGCTGATGCTGGACATGAGGGGCTTCGTCAAGACTTGCAACTCGGTCAACTTCTTCATCGTGCGAGGGGACGAGGTCTGGGCGCCGACGAAGGACAACCAGATGCAGGGCATCACCCGCCAAAAGACCATCGACGTCTGCCGCGCTGCGGGGATCACCGTCAGGGAGCTCGATTTCGCCCTCACCGAGGTTTACGGCGCTGATGAAGCGTTCTGCACGGGCACTTTCCCGTCACAGATACATGTTACCGAGGTCGATGGGAGGAAGATTGGGGATGGAAACAAGGGTCCTGTCACTGCGGCCATTCAGAAGTTGTACGCAGCAGAGGTGACGCGGGATGTCTCAAGGCCGAGGGAGGCTATCCTGGCCGACTTGGAGACACCTCGAGACCTTAGTGTCTTGAAGCGGTTGAAGTTGTAGATTTCTGTTCAGCTATGCCAAATGACCGATAATTTGAAACCAAGACTACGTATATGACATTTGGACAATGCTCTCAACCTTCACCTAGGGGCGGTTCATACCTAGCGGACGTTTTGGAGCCCATATGTGAAATTGGTTGAATTTAACGACTGTTGCAACCCCGTCTAAAGGTTTTGTTACGGTTCGTTTCCAAGTCCAAAGTTAGAAGCATCATCCGAGCGGATGGAGGCCAACTTTGACTGAGATTCCCCAATAATTCGATCGGCATATTATTCCACATCATCCATGTCGCGGACAGTGGGCGCTGCTCCATGACTCGGATTCGGACTGGTCCGAGATCTCTCTGTCAATCACCGAACATCGTCTCGGTGGAGACCGATAATGATTGCGTGATCCCGTAGTGCGATTTCGTCAATCAGTGTTGAACGCGTTCTCTATATCGAAAACGACAACCTGGATTTCTATTACCCAAGACAATGGATGATGTGAGAAGGCGAGGTGAAATATCTGCGCATACCCGTTTGAATATCTTGGCCTTCATGGCGATTCCTCTCGTTTCTTGTTTTTGAGTCTTTTACCCGGCTTCATTCCTTATCTCGATTCGGCCAGTGGGTTCCGACGTTCTGTAAGATAAAAGGTCTCTTCGACTTACACGGCATCGCTGCATTCACCTGACCCGTTGGAGGCGACTTTTCAAGATGGACCCGAAACCGGTCGCCGAGAGCAAGTTGACGGAGCCTGCGGTGCCCAAGGATTCTCACGATGAAGTACCTTTCGACGAATCCGAGGCGCTGAAGCCCGCGTTGAACAGACGATTGCTAATGAAGACGGATCTCGTGGTCCTGCCCTGTCTCGTGATCAGCATGACGTTGGCCTTCCTCGACAAGGTAAGACGATGCCAACGGCCAAACCGAACCCAGATGCCGATAGCTGACATCTGGCATTGGCATATGTAGAACGCGCTCGGTTTTGCCGCAATCTTTGGCCTCAGGACCGACGCCAATCTCAAGGGCCAGGAGTACTCGTGGCTGGGCAGCATCTTCTACTTTGGATACCTGGCCATGGAGCTGCCCAGTCTGTGGCTCATCACCAAAGTTCCCATTGGAAAGTACATCAGCGCTTGCCTCATTCTCTGGGGCGCCGCCATCTGCCTGATGGCGGCTTGTCACAACTTTGCCGGGCTGGCGACCATCCGCGTGCTTCTCGGAATCTTCGAGGCGGCCCTGCTGCCGTGCATGTTGGTGCTGAACTCGACTTGGTACCGCCGCGAGGAGCAGCCGCTTCGGACTGCGCTCTGGCACAACACCTTTGCTGGTGTCTTTGGCGGTATCTTGTCGTATGCTATCGGCAACATCAAGGGGTCGTTGTCTACGTGGAAGGTTGGTGCTGTTCACGGACTTGAAATCGAAAGGCCGCTAATTTGATGTCAGTACATCTTCATCATCTACGGAGCCGTCACCATTTTCACCGGCTTCATCATCTTCTTTGCCCTGCCGGATTCCCCTGCCAAAGCCTGGTTCTTCACCGAAGAGGAGAAGAAGGCCGTCATCATCCGTCTGGCGGAGAACCAGACGGGCGTCGACAACCACAAGGTAGGTGACATGGGAATTTCCTCGTCTCAACGAGAGAGGATGTATTTGCTAACGGGAGGCACCAGAAATTTGACAGAAAACAAATCATCGAAGCCCTGAAGGACCCAAAGTGTTGGTGCGTCTGGGCCTGCGGCATCGGCTACGCCATCGCCAACGCGGGCATCACCAACTTCAACCCGCTCATCATCGCGGGATACGGCTTCAGCCAGACCAAGACGGTGCTCATGGCGACGCCGCAAGCCGCCGTTGCCATGGTGGCCGGCGCCGTCCTGACCGCCATCTCGCACTTTGTGCAGAACCTGCGGTGCTTCTTCTGGATCATCTCCGCCCTCATCGGTCTCGCTGGCGCCGTGATGGTGCATACCCTTGATGTGACTTCTGCGCGCAACGCCTCGCTAGGTACGGAAACGGATGCAGGCCCCTTTCTATCGTAGATGAGAAGGAGACTAATGAGATCCCAGCGGGTGTGTACATCATGGGATTCTACAACGTTCCGTGGGTGTTTATGCTGAGTCTCAACTCGTCAAACACCGCGGGCGCGACGAAGAAGAGTTTCATGGGTGTCTCCGTCGCCGTGTGCTATGGTGAGTCGCAATCAACCCGCTGGAGCTTTTGAGAACAAACACTGATAAATACTGTGTCGTAGCCATCGGAAACATCATCGGACCGCAGCTCTTCCTCTCCAGCCAGGCCCCGAGATACCCCCTGGGCATTGGCGCAATGATGTTCGCGTTTGCCCTCATGGCCGCGTCGGGCGTGGCATACTACGTTTTGTGTGTTTTCGAGAACAAGCGCCGCGACTCACAGTATGGTATTCCGGAAGACAAGGTCCAGGCTGGCCTCGAGTCTGAGAGAGAGGATAAGACGGACTGGGAGAACAAGGGGTTCCGTTACACCTACTAGATACCCTTAATACATCAGGACGAACGGGGATGTCTGCTCTCCTATCCAAGCTGTTGATCATCCGTGTCGTGGTTGTGAAAACAAATGGGAAGGATGCATGGCATTGCCAGTGCAAATACGCTCACGATCCATGCTCATCGGATATTCGGTCTGCAGCCTTCACCGAAGAACCGTTACGGTGCCGCATCCGTACCGACAGCGCAGCAAGATTGTAAAGTCACTGCAAGAGCTAAACGGTAAACAGCCTCATTCATGCGACGGCCTGTCAGTTTGATCCTCAAACAGAAGAAAAAAAAGTTGAGCTCAAAAACCCCCCCAAGACAAGTGTATCCAGCACGGGGGAAAACATAACTTTAATATCAGCGCCCAAATAACGATGCCTCTCGCAATCACCTCCCCTGTCCAAGGTTCGTTCGGTTCCTTATCGGCTCCTGCCACACGGTCACGCGGGGCGCGGGGGTGGTTGCGGCATGGGACGGGTGGACTGGACCGGGGGATAACGCTGCGGATAAGGAGATAAACGAAGGGCAGCTCGGCTCGCTTTCCTTCGGCTCAGCCATGACGTCGCAGCGCCGGCCGACGATAGACGACTCCCGCCGTGAACAAGCCTCTGGCTGCTAGATGTCTCGGCTTCCCGCTCCCTCTTTGTTATCGTGGGATTGAGTGTCCAACTCTCTTGCTACCAGTCTCTTGAGTGTGTCGTGTGTCTGTTCAATCGCAGAGATGAGGTCTTGCAAGATGCTTCGCCGTGCACCCCTGCGCGGGGTCCTTCCACGAGCCTCCCCGGCGACCGCGACGATGCCCTTCGCAGCAACCCCGAGCCGAGCTGCGAGCAGCCTCTCCCAGCGGCCCAATGCGAACCACGTCTCCTTCCCGGGCGCCGTCAAGAGCGCCTTCACGAGCACGCTCAAGTTCGAGACGCCCGGCGAGTACCCGGCCGTGCCAACCTACCGCGTCGTCGACCAGAACGGCGCCATCGTGGACGAGTCGTTCACGCCGGACCTCGGCGAGGAGGAGATCGTGAAGCTGTACAAGGACATGGTCTTCATCTCGGTTATGGACCTCATCATGTTCGACGCGCAGCGCCAGGGCCGGCTGAGCTTCTACATGGTCTCGGCGGGAGAGGAGGCGCTGAGCGTCGGCTCGGCCAGCGTGCTCACGCCCGAGGACGTCATCTTCTGCCAGTACCGCGAGCAGGGCGTCTTCAAGCAGCGCGGCTTCACGACGGCGGACTTTATGAACCAGCTGTTCGCCAACTCAAAGGACCCCGGAAGAGGGAGGAACATGCCGGTGCACTACGGTAGCAAGGAGCTAAATATTGTGGGTGCCTCTCCGTTCCCCCTGACTGCCTCGCCATGACTGACCATTTGGTCGACAGCACACGATTTCGTCCCCGTTGGCGACGCAGCTGCCGCAGGCGTCGGGGGCGGCGTACGCATTGAAGATGCAAAGGATGCAGGACCAATCGATACCCCCGAGAGTAGTCGCGGCTTACTTTGGCGAGGGCGCCGCGAGTGAGGGCGACTTCCACGCCGCCCTCAACATCGCCGCTACGCGGTCGTGTCCCGTCATCTTCATCTGCAGGAACAACGGCTACGCCATCTCAACGCCGACATTGGAGCAGTACAGGGGAGACGGCATCGCCAGCAGAGGTCTGGGCTACGGCATCGACACCATCCGGGTGGATGGCAACGACATTTGGGCCGTACGGGAGGCCACCAAGAGGGCGCGTGAGATGGCGCTGGAGAACGGAGGCAGGCCTGTCCTCATCGAGGCCATGACTTACCGCGTGAGCCACCACAGCACGTCGGACGACTCGTTCGCCTACCGTGCCAGAGTCGAGGTGGAAGACTGGAAGCGTAGGGACAACCCCATCACGCGGTTGCGCAAGTGGATGGAGGCCAAGGGCATGTGGGATGAGAATAAGGAAAAGGAGTGCCGCGACTCTACGAGACGGGAGGTCTTGAAGGCGTTCAAGGAGGCCGAGAATGAAAAGAAGCCGCCCATCCGGGGCATGTTTGAAGATGTTTACGAAGAGCTGACGCCGGATCTGAAGCAGCAGATGGCGCAGCTGCGGGAACACCTCGACAAGTACCCTGACGAGTATGATTTTAATGAGTTTGAGGGCGGCAAGGACAGTCTGAAGGCGTAGACAGAGGTGTGCTACTCACGCGATATCTTGGTGTATGACAAGAATTACACAGACGGAGTTCTTGGCGCCGCAGACATGTAGGGCTTTCAATGAATAAGCGAATAGATGCCAAAAACATCCGTATCGGTGACCGAGCTTCAGTGAGCTTTTTCCTTGCTGTCCATGTTGCTTAGAAATGACCAAAGTCGACAGCCCCATCCACATAAAGTCCCTTGATGGCGCAACAGGAGTCGCAGATTCCGTCTATCCACTTTGCTTGAATCAGCTCCGTCAGAATCTGGGGCCCTAAGCGCAGGGTGTGGAGGTGCAAACGGAGACATGGTTCCGTAATGACATGGCGCTATGCGATGCGG